TCCATATAAATATATAAATATTGAATAAAGTGCATGGGAACATGTCTGTACATATATACAGATACACATTTGTCTATACAGTATACATTTGAATAATTATGGAAGAAAAAAACACATACACATTTGTAATATATATGTAGTCAAAAGACATCTGTCAGGCAGTATTAATTTCCGTTCTGATCAAGATTGAGTATAAGGGGGCAGAACCTGTAATCTCTAATATATAATGAAATGTGCAGAGTTATAAACTAAGTCAAAATACATTAGAGCAGAGACTTTTTAACATGTATATTTTCTTCAGTTAATATGGTATAATCATTAAAGAGTAGTTCAGTTCAAACGCAGCCTTGGTACTAGTGGCATATTATAAATTCTAGCTTTGAAATGGTGAACCATCTTTCAATGTATCTATAAAGACATAATTAGGATTTTCTGCATTTCCCAACACTTTTCCAAATTACACAACGGCACTTCTCACATCCTTTAGTTTTCAAATCTGTAGTTTCTTCCAAAGGCTTAGGGCAAAAACGATTTCTCATTTAATAGAAATGCTTCGGTATTGTAATCATATATTTAACATCTATTCCAGTAACTATGTGTAATTTAACCTTCAGTATTACAATGTCAAGGTGGATTAACTACTGCTAATCTCTTTCTTCAGCAACTGTTTCTACAAAATATTATCTGCTTTTTTTAAAATTAGGGAGTCCAGTGTCAGTGAGTAGTACCAAAATGAATGCGTTTTTAGAGAAATGGAACAAAAATTTTGCTCAAAACTTTGGTAGTCATTAATTGGGTCCAGATCAAGGGGCATATTTCAAAATTCATTGCAATGTTTGACCTCAAGTGATTTTTTTCCCCTCGTTCCTTTGTTTGGTTGGCATTCACTGGTAACCAGTCAGGAAGACATACTGAGAAAACGACTCTCAGAGTTGGAACAAACCTGTTTCTGAACCAGGTAAGAATGAAATAAATTGAACTGATTCTCAAAATAAGTCTGTTTATATTTTTTGACAAGACCATTTCTGTTTAGTCATTTTCTTCAGAGGCAAGGATCTTGTTTTAAGTGTTTTCATACCCCTCATACCTAGAAAATTGCTTCACACTTAAGTGTACACTCAATAGATGATTGTGGAACCAAGCTGAACAGTTTTAATAAATAATATAGGTTGATTGATCTGAAAGCATCAATTTACATGATGGTGTCAATAGGAAAGACACTTGCTTTTTACAGAGAGGTCCTGAGGCTCTATTACCGTCAATAGCCAGAAACCTGAGTTCATCCTGAATCCTGACAGCTACATCAACATACATTGTTTACTGCTCAGAGGAACGCATGCATGATGCAGTCATTTCACAGAGAGTTACCAAATACCTCTATGGTATTCTTTTAGAGAAGCATGTACTTGGTAATGTTAAATTATTATCCTTTTGATAGGTTACCTAGAAGAACAAATATTAAACAAGACCACACTGGAAATTCAGAGTAAAACACGAGAAGTAGAAGAGAAAGCAGCAATAGTTATTCAATAACATTTAAAATCTTTTTCACTTCTGAGAATTAACTTGAAACACAGCAAAGGCCAGCAACCTTGTGAATATTTCAAAATGACATCTATGGAAAAGCAGCAATAAAAAATATTGTCAAGTATTTCATTTAATTATCTTAGCAATACAGATTTTATAGCACTGTCCTTAGTGTCTTCTTTTTCCTTTCAAAATATATATCATGGTATGTTTTAAAGAGAATTCTTTATTTTAAAGCCCACTACATTCAACATTTTTTTTTACTATTTATAGCTATTTTTATGTACAGCAATAGGTAACCAACTCAATCCCATGCCGTCAACTAGCAACACAGTAGCAAGCCAAAGTTTCCATTTGAAAATAGAAATCAATTGAGATTTATTTAGGGCCTCATAATTATGCAATAAAAGCTAATCATTTTAAAGACATATCATTTACAATGTTAAAAATAATTATCATAAAGCTCACAGCTGAAATGCTGGCAGAACATTTTCGAAGTGCACATTTTGTGGCATTTAACCCTGCTTTTCATTGACAGAATAAAATGAGGCATATAGACATTATTGTTGGTTCCACTAGACCGGCCTAATTTTTTCCAGTCTCTTTATTTTAGTTTATTTTTTCCAGATAGGTGAAAACTCACTCTGTGTGCCCTCCACAGTTGCCATAGTAACTAGCCTATCACACACAGCTAACCTTTTCATTCACTGTGTTGATATTGTCTGTCGAGGCATCTTCTGCATGTTGCTTTCCTAGAGCAACCATAGAGCAGTCATTATCTGCGGTCTTGGCATCTTTCTTTGAATTCTTTTTTTGCCCCATTTGGAGTTGACTAGACTTGTAGGCCAAAGCCGGTATAGTGTTCACTAAAATTAACTGTAATGGTTTTTTGTTTTCCTTGTACTGACACTGAATATACCGTGAAAAGGCCGACCTATAGGTCTTATTGAACAGTGTGTAGACTAGTGGGTTGACCGCTGAGGAGAGGTAACCGATCCAAACGAACACATTAAGCAAGGCTCCGATGACATCCTCGTTGCAGGACTCTTTGCAGATGACGGCCATTATGTTCGTGATGAAGAAGGGACACCACATCACCACAAACAGGAAGAAGACGATGCCCAGCACCTTGCATGCTTTTTGCTCGTTGCTGATGGACTGCATAGTCCTCCTGCCTGCGTAGGACCCTGGCTCCCTGTGGATTGACCTCTGGAAGAGCTTTTCCGAAGACAGGGAACTCTGAGGGAGGAAGCTGAAAGAAGCTAATTTGGCCCGTGTGCCAACATCACTCACACACAAAGTAGCTTCTTTCTGGAGTGACTTGATAGTTAGAAAGTAGGTGATCACCATGATGGTTAAGGGAATGAAAAATGACACGAAAGAGCCAATCAGGACAAAGTTGTCATCGGCGAGTAAGCAACTCCCCTCCTTAAAGACCTTGGAATCATCCTGTAGCCCAAAGACTGGTATTGGCATGGAGATACCTGGAGTTGGACAGAAAATGAAACATGATTATGCAGGAATTGAGTACACAAAGTCAAGAACACAATGGTGGCTGTTTAAAGAATTTTGTATCAACATTGTTTAAAGGCTTGACATACTTTCATTGATAATTTAAAATTCCTTAGAACTTACTTATCTATTTTATAAGTATATTTCATACAGTTCCTTATACCTTATGTTGCCCAATATAGA